TGTAATTCTTCTTGACACTCATCCCTATATTTATAACTCGTAGAGTAAAATGCTCTACTTAAGATGATTGAGATGATGGTTGCACTCTGAGGGTATGTCTACACTACCCTCCTAGTTCGAACTACCGTTACTCCTCGTGAAACGAGGTGTACCGGTAGTTCGGAATAGGCACCCTAGTCCGAACTACCTAGTTCGAGCTCCGTGTAGCCGCGCTGCACGGGGTTCAAAGCAGCGGGGATTTAAAAATGGCAGCTCCCCGCTTATGCTAATGAAGCCCGGGAAATTCAAATCCCGGGCTTCATTAGCATAAGCGGGGAGCTGCCATTTTTAAATCCCCGCTGCTTCGAACCCCGTGCAGCGCGGCTACACGGAGCTCGAACTAGGTAGTTCGGACTAGGGTGCCTATTCCGAACTACCGGTACACCTCGTTTCACGAGGAGTAACGGTAGTTCGAACTAGGAGGGTAGTGTAGACATACCCTTATAGAGCACAAGTATCAGCTTCATTAATTAGGAGAGCTGGGCTAGCCAGTGCACTGACAGTATTTTGTGCTTCCTGTAGCAAAGGAGTGGGACTTCCTTCAAAGAACACAGTGAGGGAGAATCAGGTGCCCCCTGGTAGGCAGAACACAGAAGGCCCAGCCTGCCATGCTGGTAGCAGAAGGGCAGGACAGGAAGTGGAAGTAAAGAAGCTGGCCATGCAGCTCAGCTGAGCAGGAATTACCAAGGAAGAGAGACATTTCAAGCCAGTCATTGGACCCAGAATTCACAGAAGACTTTTGCTGCCCCCAAGACACCTCCCAGGGAGTAGGATTGCCAGATGCTGAGGAGCTGCTGGGGTTGTCACTGGCAGGATACTCCAAGGAGGTGGAGACCCAGAGTTCAGGTACATCTGGAGGGGCGGGAGGAAGGAGCCCAGGGATAACCGACTGTAGTCTGGCTGCAGGGGTGTTCAAACAGCTGTCAACGTGTTGCGGTGGGATGCCCTGCTGGCCCTTAGTGGCAGCCCACTCTGCAGCTGCTAGGGCCCTGGGCTAGGATGCAGTGAAGTCAGATGGGCCTGCTTCCCCCTATGCCCGCCACCCCACCCCAGGGCAGCAGTACTTCCCCTCCTTAGGCTAAGAGGCCTGTAATAGTCTGTCACCAACCAAAGCTAGGACAACAGACTGGGGTGGGGTTCACCCCACCTGACCTCCTGGACTGCCTCCTGGGTGCCTCCTAGGCAGTAGGCAGGCTGGGTGCCGAGTCCTTGCCAGCCCCTTACACCCTTTGTTCAGTGCCCTGCCCTGGATGAGGGTAGACCCCTGAAAAATTCCCATTGTTAGCTTGCCTAAGGGTTGGATCCAAAGCCCACTATGTCCCCCTTTATTTAGACTATTGTTTCAGGAGCATGACGGCGACGGTGTGTGACCTCCCTCCGAGACTGACAGCAAGGGAGAGCCCCACCCACCTGGTTACATGTGGTAGGAAAGACTGGGCACCGCCCACCCCCTGCCATGCATTCTGTGCCGTCCCGCCACCAGCAGAGGCAGCCACAGATCTCAGCGGGCTGAGAGGCAACATCAGGAGGAAGCCTGC